TAAAATAAAACTTTGAGCCTTATATCCTTTCTTTCTCAAATCGTGAACCAGGCCACATTACAATCCTCAAAAGTCCTAATTGAGGCAAGGTTCATCCCGAAGGCATACTTCCACGAGACAACGTTCTTGACTCCCACGAGTTGTGCTAAAAGACTTTGGTTGGTATCACATTGTGCATAATGTCTTTCAGTTAAAAATCAGTATCGCATTTCAACTAGTGACTTGTGCACAGGATTTAACGATATATTTTCAATAAAAACTTCAAGATTAACATAGGTGTTACATTAGAATAATCATTTTAAACATTTTATGCTTGTATACATGTATTTGACGCCAATGAAGTGTACATAATGAGCATCAGTCGAGAAGTCTAGCTTTGCTAAGAGGAAATTCCTAGAGAGACTTATTGAGGGACATGTAGCCAAGAAACTTTGTCAGGTACCGATTCTTCCAACAATTTGCTCAGAAGTTTCCAAATCTGAGGCAGTCACATCGAGAAATCTCTCCAAAGTTCAGTTAATCGGGGCAATCATGTCGAGATTCTATGAATCTCTCGAAGATCAATCAGACATGGGAAAAATTATAATAAGGCTCGTACCAAGCAAGCCGCTTCAAGAGCACAAGGAGTTATCCTCTATAGAGGATGGTTAATCAGAGTCACATCTCCAAAATACATAGTGGGGCAGAGTACTTCAAATTTTTTGAGGAAGGTTCCTTCATAGGTCATGCCATACCAGGGCATAATTCACATCATGTCTGCAGGATTCATGTTGATAGCTACCACATGGTATCCCTAATAGAGTTTCCATCCCTGACAGAGATCACGAAGGTCTTACCATCCTCAGCAGAACACTATGAAAGTTCTTATTATCCTCCCCAACAGGATTCCAGAAATCTTCCTTCCCCGACCATGGTTGGATTTGGTTGTTTCTTCTCCAACAAGAGTTCAAGTCCCCAAACAAAGTAGGGATGGTTTATTCGCATCCCCCGCAAGAGGCTCGTTTGAACTGCCTTCCCCAATAGACTTTCCCTTCCCACAGAGTATTGGTATATGTGTTTTTTATCAAGATCAAGAAGTATAGTTTCCCCAGCGGAGTCTCATGGTTTCGTATTCTCCCTAGAAAAGTTGGTTATAATGATACTTCTCTGGCAAGATCATCATTCTCTACAATTCAGAGCCCGATGGTTTTTGGTATCATCAACAGGTTAAAGCCTAATCGCCATCGGCAGTCACCCGACGGAGGTGGTATTTTCCTCACAGAGTGTTGGAAGATTAGAATCCCGATGTTATTCCCTAAGCAGTCATCTACTGAACGTACTTTCCTGTAAAGCAGAAGTTTAAGTTGGTTATGACTCCAAAGACAGTTCAGTGTGTCTTTCCCAAGGGAGTTGGTTTCAGTTGTGCAACACTTCTCACGGTGGAGTGTCTTTTGCATTACATTGCATCTTCATAGTGTGTAGCATTTCCATCTGCATGGAGCATTACGTCATGGAAAATTCAAACATGCATCCGAAGCGTAAGCCATGTTTGATATTCCCTTTTCCAAAACTTTCCCCAGCAGAAAATGGTGTAACTTAGGAGAAGTCGTTTAACTTTATCCTCAAGCATGTGTTCTAACCAATCCTTAGGCTAGTAGACTTGTCAATCTTACCCTTTGATCTTCGTTCCCTAGCAGAATCATCTACCTAAGATTCCATTATCCCTTCAAAGTCGTTTAATAATTTATTCTTGACTCTTTCACCCATCTTTTGACTATTAGATGCGTTAATCCCAATATTTTCATCAACACTCGTCCGTGTACAATCAACACATGTCCGTGTACATTCAACACTCATCTGTGTTTGTTTCGTCAATACTCGTCTGTATCGATCCTAGATCTTTCAACACCCGTTCGTGTTTGTTTCAATTTCATTAATACTTGTCCGTATTGATCTTAGATGTTAGACACTCGTCGTAATATTTCAACACTCGTCTGTGTTTGTACTCGTTCGTATTTAGACACTCGTCGTAATATTTCAACACTCGTCTGTGTTTGTACTCGTTCGTATTTAGACACTCGTCATACTCTTTCAACACTCGTCCATGGTTATTTCAGTAATACTCGTTCGTATTTAAACACTCGTAGTGCTCTTTCAACACTCGTCCGTGGTTATTTCAGTAATACTCTTCCGTATTTAGACACTCGTTGTGGTCTTTCAACACTCGTTTGTGATTATTCCGGTTTCATTGATACTCGTTCGTATTTAGAAACTCGTCGTGATCTTTCAACACTCGTCTATGTTTGTACTCGTCCGTATTTAGACACTCGTTGTGATCTTTCAACACTCGTCCGTGTTTATTTCAGGTTCATTAATACTCGCCCGTATTGATCTTAGATTTTTAGACACTCGTCGTGATCTTTCAACACTCATCCGTGGTTTCATTAATACACGTCCGTATTTAAACACTCGTCGTGATCTTTCAACACCCATTCGTGTTTGTTTCAATTTCATTAATACTCGTCCATATTGATCTTAGTATTTGGACACTTGTCGTGATCTTTCAGCACCCGTCTGTGTTTGTTTCAATTTCATTAATACTCGTCCGTATAGATCTTAGATGTTAGACACTCATCGTGATCTTTCAACACTCGTCCGTGTTTGTTTCAATTTCATTAATACGCGTCCGTATTGACCTTAGATGTTAGAAACTTGTCGTGATCTTTCAACACCTGTTTGTGTTTGTTTCAATTTCATTAATACTCGTCTGTATTGATATTAGATTTTTAGACACTCGTCGTGCTCTGTCAACACTCGTCTGTGTTTGTTCAGTCTCATCAATACTCGTTCGTATTGATCTTAGATTCTTTTAACATTCGTCGCGCTCTTCAACACCCGTCCGTGTTTGCTCTCAGTTTCTTCAATACTCGTCCGTATTGATCTTAGATTTTACAATGTCCGTGTTTATTTCAATTTTATCAATACTCGTCCATATTAATCTTATACTTTTGTTGTCACCCTCAAAACATGTTTGTGCTTATCCCTAGTACAATTGTCACTCGTCCGTGTCGATTTCTGTTATATCAGTACTTCGTCCGTATTGATTCTCCAACTCCTTTTTATATTGCTCAATCTCCACCTATATTTACGTCAGTTGTATTCCTCAGAGGAGTCATCTCTTCCCCTGTAGAGTGCAAATTTTATGGTTACTTTTATATTCAATCCCTTTCTACTTCGAATGTTTGAAAATTGTTGCTATCATACCTTCAGGTTTAAGTTAATTGAATAGGGGCAGCTGTTGTACCCCAAAATTGCCCTCATTTTATCCTAACCCTAGTTGGTTGTTGTTTCACCTACATATGCATTCACAACTATTCATTTTCTGTACGGGAACAAGGCCTTCTGATGAATCAGGGTTTCCTATGGGCCGAAGTTTCTATTTCATTAATTCGATTGGTTTTCTCGTGGATAATGGAATTAAGGTTTTGGTTATCACCCTCATAAGCATGTTTCCGTGGCAAGATTTATCAAGATTTTTTATTCACGGTTGGGCTCGTTAAACATCCATTAATTGAAGATTATGAGATTAGAGTGGTCATGCTTCTTTTTATATTTCAAGTCTTATCTTCCTCTTCAAGGATTCTTCAAGAAATTACTATTACGTTTCTCATCAAGGGAAGATATCTCTGTGGATTAGAATACAATATATAAAACGAAAGATCCATGATGTTTAAGACATTGCTTTCAAATACCCATTACTTGTAATGAAAGTTAGGGTATGCATGATGGTTTCTTTGGTGAATTATCATTTGATGTTTTGGAGTTTTCATATGGATTGGTGTGAAGTTTTAGTCCTTGAATTTGTCAAGAAATAATTCAAATATGGTAAGCTTGCAGGTCATGGTTGCAAAAGATTAACAGACCATGGCAAAATTTTCAAGAAAAGGGGTTTCAACCTGAAGAATAAATATAAGTTCAATTTTACGGAATTTCTTTCAAATGTCACGGCCTAGATTTTTCATTGATCAAAACTAAGGACCATTTCCAAATTCTAAATCTCTAAGATAAGAATTTACATTAATTCAAAATTTATGCTATTCATCACCATTTAATTCAAGAAGATTGTAGTTCAAAACAAAATGCAAGGATAAGTTGTGTTATTCTAAGAGGGTAAGAGGATTCTTCGTTCTATGCTCACGTTCGACAAGCGGTTACCGTTAGAGACAAGGCTAAAGCTTTTCAAGGTGTTGTCTTTACGGAAGGATATGCATCGATTCAATTTCGTGGAAGCATCAAAGAAAGGTTGAAGGTCTTCATTCATTATTTTCTTTTTTATATCTTCATTCAATATGTAGAAAAGTGATGGCATAATACATCACAAATAAACATTACTGCTACAATGTGGTTTACCATTTTCCAAACAAAATGCACAAATAATAAAGACAAACATGCTTTGATTAAAGCCATAAGCTATGTCGTAGCTACCAATCACAACCCGAGATGCCATTCATGCCTATTCTTGAAGACAAAAGCTGGATATTGCAGTACTTTTCAAATCAAAAGCTTACACAGATTCAAAAGTTAGAATTGTAACATATGCTGCCCATATTCAAGTACATCCTAATTTTCTAAAGTACATCCTAATTTTCTAAAGTACAAGTGAATTGCCAATACTTTCAAGACCGACAAATCCTCTCCTTGCAATTATTATACGGTGTAGTACATGGTGGCCACTGCTTATGCAGACGTTTGACTCGTTATGCAAATTAAGTTTACAACCATCCTTGCAAAAAGTATGCTCAGGAGGTGGACCTTCCGCAGTACCGCGATATCAGTGGGGTAGACATGAGAGTTATAGACGTAGTAGCGGTTACAAATTTGTTGTTGCAATAAGGTTCCTTGTACGTGCTCTCTTCCACCTCTCTTCCACCTTCATATGAGGATCTCTTCTGTGTTTGTATGGCAACGACCCTGAGACGCATTTTGAACTCTAACCCTTAATCTTCATCGCACGGACCAGATTAATTGGGGAGGACCACGTTTGGCTTCAATGTCCTAAGGCAGTAGTCGAGGTTATCTCTGTTCTGCCATGTGCTCCTGCAATCAGTAAATTCATATCGGTAACTGTCAGTTCATTATCCGATTGGAGAATAGCAAAATCAGAATACAATGCACCGAAAATAGAAAGTTGCAACGTCGAAAACAGAAAGATTCAATTAGATTGAATGCAAATTTCTAATCAGATCAAAAGCAGCAAATTTTGGAGCCGGAAATAGAACAATTAAAAAATCACTCTTTACAAGTTACACAATCACAGTAAGTCATCCCAAATCAAAATCGATAGAAAATCCCTACGTTCAAATCAGAATAAGCAGTGTAATCTCATATTCAATGTCGAAATCAAAAGTTAATACTACGAAGTCTATATAAATAGAACACACACGGAGAAACAAGAGAGAGGAAGATCACTGTATTCGTACCGAAAGCCACAAGCAAGAAAAACTGCAACACCACAACAGGGGAAACAACAATCAAAATAGAGAAATCAAAGAGGAAGAGCAATGAAACTCTACCAGTAAAATCCGTGTCGACGTCCATGCAAAAACCTCCACCGTGAGTCCCTTCCGAATGTCACGTTAATCGTCGCCAACGAAATCAACAAGGAAGAGCAATGAAACTCTACCAGTAAAATCCGTGTCGACGTCCATGCAAAAACCTCCATCGTGAGTCCCTTCCGAATGCCACGTTAATCGTCGCCGACGCCTCCATCGTAAGCCTTCTATATCCACCGGTAATTTTGAATGCCCTTGGTAATTTCATATGTTTTTCGAAAGAACCAATTGCTGTGAACAATGGTTTAGTGTTGGTGAGGGATCGCGTTATGACCTGCGATTGGGAGAGAGAAAGCTAAGTAATAGCGAGAAGTTGCGGGTGAATTGAAGGCGAGAGAAGAACAGAGGGGAAGACGAGCGTGGTGGCACGATGGACTCGTCGTAGACGCGGGTTGAAGGAGAAGGCGGAAGAAGGTGCGGAAACCGCAATGTAAATTATGTGAACAGGGAGAAGAAACTTTATGTGGAAGTGATGATGATGTTGCTGTTAGAAATGGATCAAGGAGTATGAGCCGATGTGGACCGCACTGCACCCTCTAGTGGAAATTTTATTTCATACCCCTACAATTATACTCATAGTCCTACACTAAAATTTTTTGGACCAAAATACCCTCGTATAAAAGTTATAATTTTTTGGTTTATTTACCGAAAGATTTTTTTGGAAGTTTTCCGGTTCTCATTTTTTTTGGTTTTTTTATCGGAAGAATTTTTGAAAGTCTTCCTATTTACATTTTTTTTGTTTATTTACTAAAAGATTTTTTGAAAGTCCTACGGTTCATGTTTTTTTTTAATTTTTAATTTTTTTTAATATTTAAATTACAAATATATTTATTCTATTTACTCAATTTTAGTTAATTAATATATTTATTCTATTTATTCTATTTATTTATTTAATAATAATTATTCTATTAATTTGATTTTTTATTAATTTATTATATTTATTTACTTAATAATAATTACTCAACTAATTTGGTATTGTTTTTTTTAATCAATAAAAATTAAAATTGTTAACTAATTTATATATTGATTGTGTTCTTTAAAGAAGAAAATTAACAATTTAATAATATATTTATATGAAAAATAAAAATAAATATCATATTTAAATTATAATCCTATCATTTCTTTTATCAAAAAATTTCACTAAAAAATTATAATATATAACATTTATAATTATTTAAACAATATTTTATGGGGTAAAATATTAACTTTTAAAAATATATTTTATGGGGTAAAATATACTTTTAAAAATTTTCACCATAAAATATTAACTTTTAAAATTTGTAGGGGTAAAATATTTTATGGGGTAAAATATTAACATTTAAAATATTAAAAATTAATTAAATCATAAATATTTAGGAGAAGAGTGATGAAAACATGCTTTAGCAGAAGAGTGTAGTGAAATCATCCAAAGGAAGCTTCCACCCAAAATCATTAATCAGGTAGATTCACTATTCCTTATGTTATTGGTTCGCTAAATATTAACATTTCTCTGTGTGATTTAGGAGCTAGCATCAATCTGATGTCATTGTCCATGATGAGGAAGTTAAAATATGGTGAGTAGAAACCTACTCAAATGATTCTAACACTGGCGGATAGATTAATCACATGCCCATGTGGAATTCTTGAAGATGTCTCGGTAAGAGTAGATGTTCTATCATTTTCAGTCGATTTTGTGATTCTAGATATGCCTGAGAATTTTGAGACACCACAATTACTCGGAAGGAAATGTTTATGATTTAATTAGTTTTTAATATTTTAAAAGTTAATATTTTATCCCATAAAATATTTTACCCCTACAAATTTTAAAAGTTAATATTTTATGGTGAAAATTTTTAAAAGTATATTTTACCCCATAAAATATATTTTTAAAAGTTAATATTTTACCCCATAAAATATTGTTTAAATAATTATAAATGTTATATATTATAATTTTTTGGTGAAAATTTTTTACAGAAGAAATGATAGGATTATAATTTAAATATGATATTTATTTTTGTTTTTCATATAAACATATTATTAAATTGTTAATTTTCTTCTTTAAAGAACACAATCAATATATAAATTAGTTAACAACTTTTATTTTTATTGATTAAAAAAAAAACAATACCAAATTAGTGGAGTAATTATTATTAATAAATAAATAAGAATAAATTAATAAAAAATCAAATTAGTGAAATAATTATTATTAAATAAATAAATAGAATAAATAGAGTAAATATATTAATTAACTAAAATAGAGTAAATAGAATAAATATATTTGTAATTTGAATATTAAAAAAAATTAAAAATTAAAAAAAAAATAAAAAAATAAACATGAACCGGAAGACAAAATCTTCCGGTAAACAAATCAAAAAAATGTGAACCGGAAGACTTCCAAAAAGTCTTCCGGTAAACAAACAAAAAAATGTGAACCGGAAGATTTTTTGGAAGTCTTCCGGTAAACAAACCAAAAAATTATAACTTTTCATACGAGGGTATTTTGGTCCAAAAAATTTTAATGTAGGGGTATGGGTATAATTGTAGGGGTATGGGGTAAAATTTCCCTCTTCTGGCCCATGCCACTTTTTTTTCATTTTTTTGTAACATAATCTTTTGTTGGACCATTCTGTTGGGCCTTGCACCCATCTTACTTACTACCCTCAGAGTCCATGCTTTTCACACCCTTTGGGTTCAACTTAACTTAGATATTATCTTCTTTTTTCAATAAATAATTTATGATTGACCGATAATTTATGATTTAATTGATTGTTTCTTTGTGATGAGATGCTTGGTAATTTGTGATTAATTATTTAAGCGTATGATTAATTTTTGGTTTGTGATTAATTTCTTGAATTAATTAGTTTTTCGCTAGTCTTTATTGAATTAGTCGGTATTTTGTTAGGGTTTCCTAATTGAATCTTGAGAATTTCCTTATTGATATTTTACGATGATCTTGATACATTTCCTGATGGTTGCTCGTGGAACCTTTTATACATGATTGATTGCTTGCTTTTTCTACTAATCCATGTCCCCCTAAGATTTTCTTGATTCAACTTTATCTTTGATGAATTGAATTAAGATTTACCGTAGGATTTCAATCCAAGCATGATAACATTAGGGTAGAAATCTCCATTTGATCTCAACTTTAGGGCTAACTTTGCTTGACAACCTTAAGACTAGGAGGTTCCATTCAATCCCGGCCTTAGAACCTCAGGGCCATAACATTAAGTAGTTTCCCGTTCCTACCTCAATCTTAGGACCATTTTACATGACAACTCCTAGGGTTAAGTCTCCCGTAGATCTTGCGTCTCTCTTCTCATCTCAAATAAAATCAAGATACTTAATAAATACAATGTGCATCTCAAACAAAGCCAATTCACTTCATTAAAACTCATCAAATAAATTCAAACCATTTTATCCTTCGGAATTTCATTTAGATCTTTTTCAGAAAGGGCATGCTACCTCCGTTCTATCGCAAACAGGCATCGACCCTAACTGCTGGAACATGAGTTTAACATCGCTCATAAAGACACCAACCAACTAGTGGTAGGTCGAACTAGGACTTCTCTTACTTCCTCACTCTCGTCCGAATAAGGATATGTAGGCACGGGATAACGAACTCTTGCCGAGCACAATCCCCCCAATCACCTGTAGTCCTCCGAAATACGTTGACTCTAACTTTTCTATTGCACGAGGGAATACGTAGGCATGGGATTGCGAGATCCTATCGAGACTTCTTTTGTTTTCCCCATTCCATTATCAAATAGGCTTTAGATAAACACACCTTTTGATTAAAACAACAAGAGTTGATCCCGTTGAGTATAATGAACGCGAGGGGTGCTAATACCTTCCTCTCGCGTAATCGACTCCCGAACCCAAGATTTTGTTGCGAGGCCATGTCTTCTCCCTTTTGAGGTTTTCTCAATGTTTCCCTTTCCCTGTTGGGATAAATAAAGTTTGATAGTGACTCTGTTTTTCTGCCGGTTATTTTTCGCGTTGTGACAGTAGTCGGCAGGAATGATAGTTGGGGAAGCCAAATCTCTCTGAATGATAGCCTTTTTCTCTAGCAACTGAGCAAAGATACTAGCATATGGCATTGACAGACGATCAAAGACCCTATCTGGCCTCCATGTTCTCTACTAACGCTGTTGGCGAGCACTTGCTGTTGTTGAGCAACTTGCAGTTATTGTTGCTGAGGAGGATATTGTTAGCCTTGTTGATTGTAAGATTGTTGTTGAGGAGCCTGTTGTTGAGGCATTTGAGCTTGGACAGTTTGAACATCTGGCTAATAAGGCATTGGAGCGTATTTTATAGCTGCAACATACGGATACGGGTAGTAAGGGATTTGATAAGGCATAGAAGCGGGAGCTTGTTGAGGAGCTTACCCTTTCTGCACAGAGACATCATTCACTTCACCCTCATTTTTCTTGTATCCGTTAAAAGGCTTCTTGGGACCAACCTGGTTACTATAACCTCCTTGGATCTTTCCACTCTTTATACCTTCTTTAATTCTCTAACCCACAATCACTAAGTCAGAGAATCCAGCGGAGACACTATCGATCAGTTTTTTTATAGTATTGGCCTTGCAAGGTACCCATGAATATGTCAATTAGTTCATGGTCGACCAAAGGTGGATGCACCTATGCAACTAGCTCTCTCTATCGTTGCGCGTACTCTTTAAAGAATTCACTATCCTTCTGAGCCATACTCTGAAGTTGAGTACGGTTCGGAGCAAGGTCTACGTTGTACTTGTACTATTTGACAAATGCATCAGCTAACTCAGCCCAAGTGCACATACTATTACATTCCAGCTGCATATATCATTCGAGTGATGCTCTAGAAAACTGTCTTGGAAGCAATGAATCATTAACTTTTTATCTCTAGCATAGGTATCCATCTTGCGAAAGTACATTTTTAGATGAATGTTCGGACAACTGAGGCCTTTGTACTTCGAGAATTCCGGCGCTTGGGAGGAATGACAACATCAGGCACCAAGCACAATTCTAGAGCACTGAGAGAGTTTGAGTTGTGCCCCTCCATGACTCGGAGTTTCTCAGCTAGATCACGACACATTTTGATAGCTTCAGAATCCTGAGCAGCAACAGGACTGGCAATGGGGATAGCAGCGTGA